AAGGCTGATAGGTCTTGTATTAGAGAGGTTTTCATCAAAAATAGGTTTTTTAGATATTAGAAAGATGTGACTTCTTTCTATTGCTTAGGTATGTGAAAAGTTTGAATGCATTGATTAAAAAGAGTAACTATTGCTTGAAGAAAAGTGGAACCAGCCTGTTTAAGCACTTTATAGCTAATTCCAGATGGTCCACATGCTTTGTTTTTAGGAAGTTGGTTAAGAGTTCTAGTAATTTTATAAAGTGAAAATTTAGTCAAGACTAAATTATAATAGTCTGAACTAGTAGTAGCTTTTAGTTCATATTCTTCTAATCAATTGGTATTGAATTCATGATCATTGATGGGTCTATAGATAGTTCAGTTATTGAAATGATGTTGGATATGTTCTTTAACTAGTTTGGGTTCTGTAATAATATGATTTGATGTTTTTATATTGTTAAATTTTACTGAATTCTTATAATGATTGAGTATGCTATTGATCATAAGTTTGGAATTAGTTTGGAGTTTGAAGCATCTAAGATTGATATGCTAATTTATTTGTTCTTGGATTTGTTTAATGTTTTCTATATTTCAGATATGATAAAGAGCTTGCCATTCAGTATTAGTAGTAGTAAACAAGCTTGATATAAGCTCATAAGATTTAGATATAAGAGGTATATTAAGATGATGTGTTGAGTTAAGATAGTGTATAGTAGAATTGAGATATATAGGTATAAATAATGAGTTAGTTAAAGAGACTTTAATTTGTCTAATAATGTTGTTGAGTTTTTTAAGATTTAGATGAAATAAGATAGCTTTAGCTGAAAATAAGTATTAAAAATTGTGAATTGTTGTTTTTTTTGTTAGAAATACATTTAGTAGCAGCATTAATAATACTAGTTTAGATTTTATGCTAAGTTGTTTCAAGAAATTCAAGGTTTGAGTAGAAAGAGATGTTTGTTTGTAGTAAGGTTAAGAGAAACTTAGTTAGCAAAGGTTTCTCATTGCTCTTTATTCATTGCTTTGTAGTTAAAAGTTCTGTGTTTAGTTCTAGTTAAATGTCTGTTTTTTTCTGTAAGAATATAAGAAAATGTTCAAGAGAATATAAATATTTTGTGATTACTTTGAGTACAGTTTTCTGCATCATCTAAGTAAAAAGAATTAAGGTATTTAAATAAAAAAAAATAGAACCAAATATAGTCAATAGTACTGTGATGTCTACTGCTATACCAGATATAAGAGGAGGTGTTTGTATGATCTGCCAGATTATAAATATTATTATATTGTAGAAATTGCAATAGTTTGTATTTAATAGATGAGGAGATGAAGTTGTTAGATAGTACATTAAAGTCACCTAGTATTATGGGTAGAATGTTTTAATTAGTAGCTTCTTGAATCTATTGAATAATAGTATTTTGAATTTGAAGTTTTAATTGTGAGTTTTCACATAGTAGAAATATAGAAATAATTCAGAATTTGTGATCATGTTTAAAGAAGAGGTCTATAGCTATAGCATAGCCAGAAAGAGTAAAAATATTGTGTATATAAGGTGTAAGATGTTTATGAATCATGAGCATAGTTTCTGCTTTGAAACTATTACTACATAATCAGTAATAGAAGTAGTGTTTTAAATTATAAAATTTGGTAATAGCATTATCTTCTACTACTTTAGTTTCTGTAATACTGATAATGTTTAAGGAATGAGAGATATAATAATCCTCTCAGACTTGTTATTTGAGATTTTTATTGTATCCTCAGACATTGTAGGTGCAGATTGTAAGATTTAGAGATAAGATATTAGGATTTTTGAGTTGTATTAAATTGCTAGAAATAGAAGCTAAAAGTCTGATAAAGAGAAGACTAATATTGATGTATTTAATTTTAGCTAAATGTATGAATAATATCAGATAGCTTGAATTGTTAGGATAAAGTGATTAGATAATGGTTTAGCTTTTAATAAAAGATAAATATAAGCTTTACTATGATTATTTTTAATAGAGATTGTTAATATGTAGCCATAAGCATTATTAGGTAAAAGCCAAAGCTATGAATATGTTGTAAAAAAGAAATAATAGTTTGTAAATAAGAAAGCAATGATAGATGGTTGTAGAATAAAAATTTGTTATAACAAATATTAAGTTGGGTGTTGTCATAATGTTGTTTAGCTATGTCAGTTTCATTATGACCTTCTAAAATAGTTTTTACTAGTTAAAAGTAAGAATAGTTTATATTATTTTCCTTTATAATTAAATTTGTATTTGGTATATTGTTGTTTATTAGAGAAAATTTAGAAGGAATGGGTATGGATGGATAATAAGTATAGTCTAAAAATCATAAGAAAAAATACAGTCAGACCTCTCTATAGTCACACTTTATATAATCACATCTCTATATAGGCATCTAATTTTATTAAATGAATTGTTGCAAAAAATAAATAAAAAACCTCTATATAAGTACAATCTTTTTATAAGCATATTTCTAAAAAAAGTTACTATCATCTCAACTATATGATTATAGAAAAAGTTGACTGTATTCAGATGAAGGTTGAGATTTGTGTAATAAATATATGTAGTATTTACTATAATCAATTTTGATTAATATTGTAAATATATAGTTAAAATTGTTTAATTGTGTATAGTTATAATGATAAATGATGTTTTAAAAAAGAGCTAAGTGTTTAAAGATGTGAAAGTAGAGGTAGGTTCAACTCTGCTAACCACAAGTTGTAGCATGAGTCTGGATCGTATAGTGTATTATAAGATGAGTTTTGTAGTTCTTTCTTGATATAAGATAATAAAATGAAATTCAAGAAAATAGAAAGTTCTTCTGTAGATTTATTGACCATATGCTTAGTTTGCATAGCTGCACAAAATACCATAGTCTGTTCTGTACATTGGGTCTAGTCATCATTAACCTGATCCTCTGCATTAAATTAATTATTTTGATAATATTATATATATAATAGTTATAAACTAATTTTGAATATAATTTTTTTAAGATCATATAATTTTCTTGCAGTCATCTTTTGCAATAGATCTTCTTATATATAGTTCAATAATAGTAGTTAAATTATCAGTTAAAAAAATTTTGTTGTCTAATCAGATTTTAAGATCTTATAAAATACAAAAAATTATAAATTAATTTTTTTGTCAGATCATTAATTTTAATAACAGCATATTAATATAGACTATTAGATTGGAAATATTACTATTATGAAAAATAAAGAATACAATAAATTGTCATTTTAAAAACATTAATATTGTATAATGTTACTTGAAAGCAAATAAGATAGTTTTAATTTAACACAAACCAAAAGCAGCCTTCAAAAATATTATAAGAATTCAGATAATTAATGTAAAACAATTATAAAATATATTTTATTTATTTTTATTTATAATAATTAGAAATTTATTAATTAAACAGTTTTATTTAATTTTGATCAAATTTAAGAACTAAATGATAATTTAGTTTTTTATTATACAATATAAGATAATTTTATATAACTATACAAATAAAGAAATTTGAATCATTTTTATAAAAAATTTGCAAGAAAAAAGAAAGAAGTTTTGAGCATAGCTTGGACACTCTTTTCTTATTATCACTAATTATTTTATTCTTATTTGCTAACAGTTTTCATTTTTTTTTACAATTTATTTGTCATTACTTTAATATTTTTTATTGAACTTTAATATTTTTACAACAATATACAATCTAATATATGATAATATATTAACACAGTTACAGACTTTACATGTCAAAGAGCATTACCTTGTCAGATGTATTTTAAATCAAGTAGATAACTTTTTTTAATAAGATTAGTGCTATTATTTAATGAAGAATTTGGTTTGTCTTAGGTTATAAGTATTGTGATATAATGGTTTTCATAAGGCATTTTAGATGTTATTACATGTTTATTTTTCATAGTTCTAGGATCAGATTGTTTTTACCAATATAAAATATTAGTCTAAAAAATTTTATTGCCAATTAAATTTTGAGATTAGGTATAATGTGAAAAAAGTACAAGAAACTAAAATAATCCAAAAATCATTTGTAACTTGAAATTTTGTCAATGAAACTGCCTTCTGCATAATAAGAAAATGTTTTTTTTTTACAAAATTTTGATATAAGTATAATCCTTTAAACCAAACCTACTTGTAATACTCTAACCTAATAACAAACTGTTTTTTCTTAAAGTTTTTTTTCTTGGTTTTGCAATAAAATCACATGATGTGCAAAATTGTTTTGCCTATTGTTGCTAGTCTTGTAGATTTTAATTAGTTAATGGATGTAGATCTGCAAAATTTCAGCCCACATTACATAATTGTTTGCTAATTTCTGATTGTAATTAAGTATTTTGACTTTTTTATTCTTATAATAAAAATTTTCAAAAAAATAAACCCACAAATGGTAGAATTAGCCCAGAAACAATTTTCATTTAATGAGCAGCTGTGATTTTATTAGTAAAATTTTGAATACTAGCTGCTCAATATGTAAGTATCAAAGCAGCTTTTGTCTTGAATCATGTGCTGTCGAACATGTGATAGGCCCTCTTATGATCACATGTTTGATCGATTATTGTTTAATCGAATGAAAGTATGAGGTAATTTGAGTAATAAGTAATGAGATCAGTAATCGTAGTATAATTAATAAAAATAGTCTATTAGTAAGTTAGAGGTAATTGAGTAACTATGATGTAATTGATTAGTAGTATATGAGTAAAATTTGGAAAATAGTAGTAGGTAATTTTGTCTTTTCTGTAAACCCGACTTTCATTCTGGTTACATTGAGCAAATAACTCTACTATTTTAAGCGTATTATCATTTGCAATTTTGTTACTTTTAATACTAATTGGGTTTATTTTAGCTGTAAATAACTAGTAATTTAGAAAGTAATAAAGTTATAGTAGATGAGGAGTTGTCTGTACAGTCAACTAATGAGAGTGAGCTATCATGTGGCCAAGTCAATTTTGAAGCAAGTTTTGGCCAGCTTTCTTTCGAGATGTTGAAGTTTCTGTGTTAAGGTATGGGTATTTCTGATGTTGGCTTGAAACAAGATTTAGTGAGTAGGTTAGTTAAGGAGTATAAAAGAAGAGAGGAGTTGTCTAGTGAATTGTTTGGGAAGGGGAAGTCGATGAGTTTAGATAATGATTTGAAGGATTCAGAATCTTTCTTTCATGCATAAGATGGTGGTCACTTGGCAGGAGGAGGTTCTTCTAATGATAAGCTTGAAGAAGAGAGTTGGGAAGCTAAAGGGTCAGGTTTGTGTTAGTCATTGCGAATTCCTGGAGATAAGAAAAAATTTGCAGTAAATTGTGATTATGAGGAAATGGGATTATGGAGAAAGTGAAATTTATCGAAGGCAAGAAATTAATAAGAGTTTAATGAATGGTGTAAGGCTGGTTTGTTGATGGATAAGGCTTTAAACACAGGTGATGTGGATTATTTGTTTTTAGCCAGGCAAGTAGCTTTGGAAAGAGCCTATGTCATCAGAGTTGCTGATGAAGATAGTTGGAGCATGGCTGCTAAGATGGTGGCTAATAACACGATTGACCCAATGTCACAGTTATTTGGGGGAAATAGAGAGAGAGCGAGATTAGCAGCGCAAAATTTCTCTAAGAACAAGAGGCCAAAATTGGCTCAAGAAAGGGGTCAGAAGGTTGATGCACAACAGGGATATATGTTTAGCTTGTTTCTGAATTTGCAACAGGGACAACCTTTTGCATCAGTAGGTTTTCAGACCCAACCTTCTTGTTTTCCTTCGTGGCAACAGTGGCTGAACCAACAGGAGCTAGTATCTACAGCCCCAGAGATGGGAGTTAGTAATATGAATCCATTTATGGCTGGGCAACATGCAGTGCAGAGTGTTTTTTCACATTTTCAGTTGCGTCACAGAGAAATAAGTATTCATCTTTACTGGGAATTAGGAATTCGGGAGTAGGCAGAAGGTTTGATGTAGCGAAAGAGGTTGTTTGTTATTTATATGAGGGGAAAGGACATTATGCAAATGAATGTGGATCATACAAACATTTGAGCATGCCCTTTTGAGGGATACTGAGAAACAGAAAAGAAGTTGACAACACTCAGGAGGTAGTAGCTACAGGGAAGGAAAGTTAAGTGTTAAACAACGACAAATGTTATATAACAGGAAGGCTACATTTGGAAGCAGCAATAAGGTATTGGAGAGAAGTGATAAAACCAGCACCTTTAATTTTAAAATGGTTGAAGAAGAAGGTTTCCCTATTTCCAAGAGGCATTATGAATCTTGCCTTGAGCACTGTACTGAAACAGAAAAGTTTTTCTATGGAAGAGGAAGAATGGGTCCAGAGGGAATTGAGAAGATTAAGGAGAGCTGGTGCAATAGAATTAGTTGCGCAAGGAAGTGTAAGACCAGAAGGACTTCTGGAAGTAAGTCCAGTTTTTATTGTGCCAAAGTAAGGTCTGAAGAAGTTTCGCTTGATAATAGATCTTAGGAGGCTGAACAGAATGCTGCTGAAGAAGACATTCAAGTTCGAAGGATTAGAAACATTATTGAGAACAATCGGAAGAGGTTGGTGGATGTTGACCTTCGATCTAAAGGAGGGATATCATTATCTGTTAATGGACAAAGTAGCTTAGCGTTTTCTGGGGTTTCGCTTTAACAAGATGTAGTTTCATTACAAGATGCTTCCTTTCAGTCTGAACCAGTCTTCATAGATTTTTGCAAAGGTAATGAAGGTGTTGATAGGGAGCTAGAGGGCAAGTGAAATATTTTGTGAGAACTATCTAGACGATGTGTGGGTGGCACATCTCTCAAAGGAAGTTTTGTTAGATCAATGACAAATGGTTATAGAAAGGGACTTAAAGAGATGTGGTTGGATTCAGGCAAAGGAGAAAGGAAATTGGAATCCAATTCAAAGGGCAAAATTCTGTAGATTGATTGTGGATACTGTAGAGGGTTTAGTGATTGTGCCAGAAGAGAAAATTGCCTCAACAATTTCACAGCTGGGAGTGTAGTTAGAAGATTCGGAGGTATCAGTGAGGAAGCTGGCATCAGTTGCAGAAAAGATTTAGAGCTTGGCAAGAGTGTTTTCGCCAGCTCAAGTAAAGTGTTTGGAGTTTTACAAGTTGATAAATGCAAGAAACTGGAGTTGAGATAATTGGGATGCAATAATTACATTGTCGAATCAGGCCTTAGAGAATATTTAATAGCTGATAGAGAATTTAAAAGTTTGGAATGAGTGTCCGGCATGGAAACCGTCAAAAGTGGAATGTCTCTTTGTGGACGTGTCAGTTATAGGCTGGTGTAGAGTTTACAAAGGGATAGTAGCAGCAGAAAGCTGGTTGCAAAGATTGTCAGCAGATGTGATAGCACAGTTGGAATTGATTGCAGTTCTGCGAGCTCTACAATCCTTTGCAACCAATTAAGGAATGTGTGGGTTATGTTGGTAATAGACAACAAGGTGGCTTTAAAAGTGGTAGTAAATGAAGGGCCATTACAATGGCAGAAGAATATTGCCAGAGAGATTTGGAAGCTATGCATTGAAATGGATATAGGTATCTACTGTACAAGGTAGATGTCAAGTCTAGAGAACCCAGCAGATACTTGGTTATGAGTAGTAGATGTTGGTAATTGGGAGATAAAGATGGAGATAGTAGATCAGCTTTAAGTTCATTGAGGCAAATTTGATATAGACAGATTTGCGAGTCATTTAAATGTGAAACTAGAAAGATTCAACAGCTTACACCTATGTCTGGGAACAGAAACAGTCGATTGCTTCATGCAGGATTGGAAGGGTTGTGTAAATTTTTTGTGTTCTCCATTTGGTCTGATCCATCAGTCTTTAATGCATGTGAAAGAATATGGGGCAGTAGTAGTAATCATTGTGTCAGTTTGGGTAGCAGTGCCATGGTGGCCTATAGTGATACAGGCAGAAAGAGAGGAGTTGAATTTACCACCTGCAGTCGAGATTATTTAGGCAGGTCCATCAGGCCACAAAGAACTCTGCAACAACAAATATTGGAAGTTAAAAGCGATTTGGATAAACTGGTCGAGAAGTTGTTAGTGCATGTAGATAGTTTGGTAAGGAATGCAGTTAGTGAGGCATACAGAAAGAAACTAGACAAGGTATAGAATTTGTTTGTAGATTTTACAAGACAGATTAGTCATAGTTCTTGTTCAGCAATGGATACAACAGTGGTAGTTTTTTTAGCATGGTTGGAAATGGTGGGATGGGGTGGACAAATGCAAAATTGTTTAGCCACAATTGCTAGAGTCCATAAGTTAAAGGGATTGCATAATCTGTGGAAGAGTAGTTCTGTGCAGATGGTAGTGAATGGCATCAAGAGAGTTATGACAAGGGATGTAGAGCCATGTGGCCTAGAGATCTGTTGCCTGTTGATGTTGTGAAGCAGTATTTGAACTTTCCTCCAGAAGGTATTAGCTTTGAAATGTGAGCTAGAGATTTGGCTTTGATAGTGTTAGGCTTGAGGATGATGAGGCGACCAGGAGAACTTTGTGATTTGAGGAAAAAGGATGTGGAAATGAAGAATAGGTTTTTGTGAATAAGGATAAACAAATTGAAGACAGACCAATTTGCTAAAGGGAAATTTGTACCAATTGAGGTGTCTAGTAGTAAATATTGTCCAGTCAAGAGGATAATAGAATATTTATGGATAAGACCAGATACAATAGATGATACTCCTTTCTTTTTGTCTAAATCAAGAAGTAAGATGACAGTGGCAGCCATCACTGCAGTGGTTAAGCATTTTACAGAACATGTAAACTTAAAAGAAAGGTTTATAGCGCACAGTTTAAGAATTGGAGACACTACTGCAGCTATAAAAGAAAAGATGTCACTTGAGCAAATCCAAGCTATTGGTGGCTGGGTTTCAGATGTTGCATGATTATATATGAGGTCAGTTGGATTAGCCGAATTGGGGCATCAACTTTAATAGGATTTTAGTGATATAGATACTCCTGTCGTGCTGTTTTAGAATTTTTTTGTTGTTGTTTTACTTGCCTTTTGTTGTTTGGTTTGTTTGTTGCCTAAGCAATTAAGCAATTATTGAGAATGGTTACTTCTCTTTTACAATGCTCTGGAAGGACCTGTTGAATGTTTTTCATCGTACTAACTATATAGAAAATAAGAGACAAAACAAACTAGCTGCTCGATACGTAAGTATTGAAGCAGCTTTTGTCTCGAATCATGTGCTGTAGAACATGTGATAGGCTCTTTTATGATCACATGTTCGATCGATTATCATTTGATTAAATAAAAGTATGAGGTAATTTGGGTAATAAGTAATGAGATCAGTAATTGTAATATAATTAATAGAAATAGTCTATTAGTAAGTTAGAAGTAATTGAGTAACTATGATGTAATTAATTAATAGTATATGAGTAAAATTTGAAAAATAGTGGTAGGTAATTTTGTCTTTTCTGCGAACCCGACTTTTGTTCTGGTTACATTGATCTCTCCCACCCTTCCTGTAATTAAGCACTGTTTGAGTAAAACAACCTGCTGAGACAGTAGTCATTTGTGGAAAAAAGGAGCAAGTGTAAGTAGGTTATCTAGTTTTGTAAATATTTAGAATTGCGACCTGTTTGGACAACAGTTGCGATGGTAAGATAGCCAGTCGGAATGACTGCTAGAAGCAATTAGATTATTGATATGGGAATGCTTAGTAAAAGACTAGATTAATCAGCCGATACTCTTAAAGGCTGCATAGGTTGCTTGATGACAGAAGAGATATACCTGTTAAATGTTTTTCATCGTACTAACTATACAGAAAATGAGAAACAAAACAAAATTTTAGTGAAATTTTTTTATCATCGCTCTTAGCCAATAAATCGAGAATTTGCCAGGTACCCTTATGTCAAGCAAAAATCAGACCCTTCTGGTCAAATACTTGGGTTGGAGTATCTCAAATATTCTATGTATATCTGATGTGAAAGAGTAAGTGCTATATATAAATTTTAATGCTAAGCATTTTTAATTAGAAGTCGGAAGTTGGTTAGCATAATAAAATTTTGCTCTATTTAAGAATTTTTATTTTTTTTGCTTTTTTGCTGTTTGTTTTGTTACACAAGATCACATGATTTTATTGGTGCCGGATCAGAATTTTAAGATCGAAGGTCGATTTTCGCTTGACATAAGGTTACCCGAATCTGCCGGGACAGTTTTGCTGTGCTATGGTTTCACCAGTTTCGCCGGGGTTCGCTAGTTTCACCAGTTTCACCAGTTCGCCATTTCGTCTTTTTGATTTTTTTTTGGCGAAAGTCGAAACTAGGTTTCGCCTTTCGCCAGTGGCAGAACCTCTAGGTTTCGCCTAACAACTGTACTATTGACGGTTTACAAGAATGAATGAAAATAAATTCGAATAACCATGTTAAAAGGCATTCTTAAGAATTTAGTTCATAAAGTCCGTACAATGACGAAAGATTAAATTTTCATATATACAGTACAACGATAATCAATATCTAATGTTTTTACCGAGATGCAGTAGATCATATCCGAATCGGTATTTGATAGATACCGATACGTACGCATCTACTCGTGATCCGCCACATTTTCTCTTTGGCTAAAGTGAAGAAGATTTTTTCACCTAAAAATTTTATATTATCTTATTGCTGTTATTAAATATCAAGAACACAATTTATGCAACATGTGTATGTTTGGTACTATGAAATGCTCTGTACACATACATGAATTTATTGTTTAATACATATTATTATACAAAATTAAGATAAAAAAAACCTTAAAAAAATAAGGAAAAAAAATCTTATGATAATATAAAAACTAAGACCAGAATATAAATAAATTACTTTAATTTTGATGCCAATTTTAAATAAACTGAGTCAGGTTTTATACTTACTCTAGTAATTTGTTGAATGATTAAATACTTTGGTTAATCATATATTCACTTGAAACCCAAACAGTGAATAATTAAACTTCATAC